TGCGTGTGTGTATATATATATATTGATTTCAGAGAGGAAGGGAAAGGGAGAGAAAAACATCAATGATGAGAGAGAATCATTGATCGGCTGCCTCCTGCATGAGCTGGCAACCTGGGCATGTGCCCTGACTGGGAATTGAACCGTGACCTCCTGGTTCATAGGTCAATGCTCAACCACTGAGCCATGCTTGCTGGGCTCGCTAAAGGCTTTTGATGAAGGGGTGAGCTGATCAAAGCTGTGTTGCAGGAACACAGTTCTGGTGGAGGCGTGGATGGAACTGGGGGGACACACTGGAGCAGGGACTGGGCTGGGTGTTATGAATGGAAGAGGGGGGAGGTCTGAGAACCACACGGGACGGCGCGCAGCCCAGAGGACGGCTGCCAGCCGCCAGCCTGTCTAGTGGAGTTCCTGACATCCAATCAACCGCAGAGTCATCGACTTGTTTGTGAAATCCTAGAGCAGACTCGGCCTCAGAGATAAGCTCGTCGGCCTTATTTTACAAATAGGAAAACTCAGACTCAAGGTAAGTTCTAATGTAATGTGTCTCACAGCAAAGAGCTTTGACTTTTCTTGTCCACTTTTCACACAACCTGAAAAGGTGGTTTCTAATTAAAAATGCATTAGATGGGCCCTAGTCGGTTTGGCTCAGTGGATAGAGTGTGGGCCTGCAGACTGAAGGATCCGGTTCCCCCACTGACTTCCCTTTCCCTCCATAGCGTCCACTGTTTGCTGTTTGGTTTTGTGCTTCTTTATCCTATAAAATACTATGAGGCAAAAGCTGGTCCGACCTGTCGCTGTGGCCATTTAATTCCAGACGTCGGTCTCATGGGATCCAGCCAGAAAACCTGTTTGAAAAACAGAGGCGGGGCCTTAGCGGTGACCTGTCCAGCACATGGAGACCTTAGCCAGATTGTGTCTGAGGATCTCTGGTGGACCACCACTTTATTAGGTCCATGCTCTCGGCCCCGGGCCAAGCCACACGTCCTCACCCCCACCCCCTGTGGAAGGTAGGGATCGCCCAGGGCAGGGCGTGAGGTCCTCCAGGTTCTAGGTCTCTTAGGAGGATTTGCTCTGCCATCTCAGCCCCAAGACATTGGCCCAAGGCCCAGCTCAGTCGGGAGTAGGATGACAGGAGAAGCTATGACTCCAGCAGCTTCTGTTGGGGGCAGACCCTGGGAACAGGGACATTTCAACTCTTGGCAAAGGCGAATACAGAAATCTTGCACACAAAATAAACAAAACACCTCTTATCTATGTTTCGAGCCCAAGAAGAACACAAAATTCAGAGGCAAAGAGAACCAGAAAGAATACAAATTCTATGAGAAGTCGAGCTCTGTGGCATGGGCTCCAACGCAGAGATGCCCTTTGAAGTCGCAGATACACATGCTGGGCTCATTATGTACCAGGTGCTCTGCTAAGCGTCTCCCTTTTCTTTGTTCTTTTATTCTTTCCAGCTTTACTGAGGTATAATTGACATCCTACGATATGCTAAGTACACAATGGAACAATTTGGTGTACATATGCACCATGAAAGGATCCCCCCATTGAGTTCATTACATCCATCACCCTTTTTTTTTTAGTAAGAACATTTAAGTTCCACTCTTAGCAAATTTCAATGATACAATACAATGGTACAATAGTGTTCTCAACTGTAGTCACCATATTGTACGTTAAATCCTCTAAGAGTTTCTTAGTCTGCTCAGCAATTCTTTGAGGAGGTTCTATTAATGTCCCCATTTATCAGATAAGAAAACGGAGGCTCAGAGAAGTCAAGTAAATAGCCCAACGTGGTAAGTGGCTGGTATGGGATGGAAAGCAGGCAGGCTGACTTGAGAGCCTGTGAGCTGAAGACCTAGGGACAGCGCACCGTCCGGCAGGAATGAGTGAATGAATGATGAGATGTCTGGCTCATCGAACACCATGGCCATGAGGCATGGGTCTGAAGGTTTGCCAAGTACAGTAAATCTTTATTATTGCCGAAGTCTGTATTTTCCAGTTCACCTATTTGTTAAAATTTATTTGTAACCCAAATGTCCACACTCCTACGGCTTCTAGAGTCACTCATGCACACATTTGGATCAAAAAAAAAGAAACCGAGTCACCAACTCACACATTCCAGCTACGGTCAAATCAGGCAACACCCTAGTTTCACATTTCATACTGTAATGTGCCCCTTTTACAGGCTCTTTAGTGCTGAGCTTTTTCTATTTCTGAGAATTTTTGTTGGTGATTTCACTGTTGAAAGTGGCCCCGGCATCTTAAACAGCAGATGAGCTACCTCACATCCCTAAGCACGAGAAGACTGATGTACCACGCAGACGACATGCGTGTGTGCGGTAAGTTCATGCACACATGCCTTACAGTGCCGCTGGCCATCAGGTCAGTGTCAATGAGTCAATAGTAGGATTAAGTCAGGTGTCCTGAAACGGAAGCCAGCAGAAAACAAGGTTAGGGGTGCATGGGTCGCAACAGTGCTGTGTCAGAGGCTCACAGGAACCCATATTTCCCCAGAGCCACGGTCAGGTCCAGGCCTGCAGGGACTGTGGGCAGTTAGAGAGCACAACGGTGCTGACTAAGGAGCATCCACTGTGTCTGACCCTGGGCTAGTCACCCGGTTAATCACTGTGTCCGCTGTGTGAGGACCGTGCTAGGCGTGGGGATGCAGGGCTGAGAAAGACAGATTCAGACCGGGTCCCTTCCCTCAAGGAGTTTATCGTTCATGGGGATGTCGGTTCTAATCTACTAGTACAGGAGCGATGGGTGTGAGGAAAGGGAAAACGGGGCATGCGTGGAGGATGTGATGGCAGAACCCAATCTCCAGTAAGTACCCTGATTCTCCCACACACGGGGCCCTACCTTACTCTGTTGCAGGTTCCCTTCTCCCACTGTGCACGACTGCTTCTGGGGGTGGAAAATGCTGGGGTGCTGACACGGCGAGTCTCACTGTTAAAGGAATCAATATTATTGAGATTCCCAACAAATACCACGTAGATTTGTTCGAAGTGCCAGGGCCACGACAAATGCAGGCCGGCATGAAGGGCCCGCCGCGTTTCCGGCCAGTGAGATGCCAGTCAGCTTCCCAGGCGTTTCATTACCCACAGCTTTCAAGGACAAACTGCTCCGTGAAGCAAGGTATGCAAATCCACTCTGGTCCCTACAAAACAGAATCTCAGAGGAAACATTTGTCCTTCTTTCTTGTTCCCCTTATCCAGCTCTATTGCTTTTCTCTGGGGACCTCGGCATCTCACTGGAGTTGCATTCCATTTAAAGATCAAGGTCAGCACTGATATCCTCTAGTAATGGACAGTAAGAAAATAGAAGAAATGCAAGGAGTAAGTGGTTTTCTCTCATTTCCCTCTCTCTCGAGATTTAATCTGCTTCTGGTAACGGGTACCAAGTCCACAGGGACCTGGGTGGCACATCCACTAGAAACAGCAACATCTATAGGGAAACGTGTATTTTCCTTGTTTCTGGCCTCGGGCTAGAAGGAAGAGACACTTCCTAGCGACAAGGTACAGGCACAAGAGGAGAGGAAGGGCTCCCGTGGGCACAGCCCTCATGGGGGAAGGAGAGCGGGGCTGGCTGGGCAGAGACCTCAGTGAACAGCCTGACAAACTGCCCCTTTGTCAGGCCGAGAAGGATCCCTCAGGGCCTCACAGGGGCTCACTTCTGTTCAGCTCCTTGGGCACTAGGCCTGGCTTTGTGTGCTGCTTTCGAAAACCGGTTGTTTCAGGGTGGCCCTGGAGGAACGCCCGGTGACTCCCCGTGCTGCCCCTCTCACAGCACAGCGTTCCCTGGCATGGGTGGGGACGGTTCCCAGGGGTGTTCGATGGGGAACAGACCCCCGGAAGAGAACATGATTTTTCTAGGGCTCTCCAGTCAGTGAGCAAGTCAGCCAGCTGTGACTTAGAGCCTGTAAACACGGAGCAGCCAGCAATCACAGACAAGAAACGTCCTTCTGTGAATATTCCCAGCTGAGCGTGCGCTGAGGGCTCAGTCACCGTTCCTTCTCCCAGGAGGACACGCAGATGGCCAATAGACATATGAAAAGTGCTCACTGTCACTAACTATCAGTTAAAATTAAAACTACAATGAACCCTAGCTGGTTTGGCTCAGTGGATAGAGCAGCCGTGGGCAAACTACGGCCCGCGGGCCGGATCCGGCCCGTTTGAAATGAATAAAACTAAAAAAAAAAAGACCGTACCCTTTTATGTAATGATGTTTACTTTGAATTTATATTAGTTCACACAAACACTCCATCCATGCTTTTGTTCCGGCCCTCCGGTCCAGTTTAAGAACCCATTGTGGCCCTCGAGTCAAAAAGTTTGCCCACCCCTGGGATAGAGCATCGACCTATGGACTGAAAGGTCCCAGGTTCAATTCCAGTCAAGGGCACATGCCCAGGTTGTGGGCTCAGTCCCCAGTGTGTGCAGGAGGCAGCCAATAGATGAGTCTCTCTCATCGTTGATGTTTCTGTCTCTCTCTTCCTCTCTGAAATCAATAAAAACACATTTTAAAAAACAAAACCACAATGAGGTATCACCTCACACCTGCCAAAATGGCTACCATCAACTAACCCACAAACAGTGCTGCGAGGGTGTGAGAAGGGCCCCTGGTGCACTGCTGGTGGGCGTGCAGACTGGTCAGCGCAGTGGAAAACAGTATGGAGGTTCCTTAAAAAATTAAAGATAGAGCTTCGATACGGTCCAGCAATTCCACTTCTGGGTACTTATCCAAAGCAAAAAAAAATCACTAATTTGAAAAGACATATGCACCCCCATGTTTATTGAAGCAGTATTTACAACAGCCAAGATATAGAAGTAACCTAGGTATTCACTGATAGATGAATAGATAAACAAGATGTCACACACACAGACACACACACACACACACACACACTGGAATATTACTCAGTAAGAAAAGGAATGAAATCTTGCCATTTGCAACAACATGGGTGGACCTAGAGGGCATTATGCCAAATGAAATAAGACAGACAAAGACAAATACCATATGATCTCACTTATATGTAGAATCTAAAAAAAAAACAAAACAAAACCCAAACAAACAAATGTACAAACAAAACAAACACAGACTCATAGAATCAGAGAGTAAACTGACGGTTGCCAGAGGGGCAGGGGTGGGGGAAGGGGGAGGGGATTATGGTCCATAGTCTTTTACGTGCAGATGTGTCTATAGTGTCGTTGTGGCATGGGCTAGCGGGGGTCTTTGGAGGCACCACCAAACGCATCGCTGAAGTTCAAGTTCCAGCTAATCCATACTTTCTGTCAACACGCGGAAGAATTTTGGGTCCCTAATCCATTGGCAACAACATTCTTCAATGAAAACAATTTCACTGAACTGATAGCTCGCTATTTTTAGGATTCTCTTTCAGCGTCTAAGGACCGAGGCATTTATAACCCACTTTATCCCACAGGGAAGCCTCGGGCAAAGCCCCCAGCGAGTGTAATCTCCTTTCTCGGTAGCAGCACAGACTGAATTATTGTCACAGCTGGGTGACATGCCGGGGGCAGACACACTGGCCCAAGAGGGAACAATAAATAGATATGAAAGAACGCTGGGACCATGACCAGACGGAGGCGGCTCAGAGTGCACCATCTCTTTACCTTCCTGCGAGTGATTTTACCCTTCCCTCCAGGAGTTTCTTCCTTCTTGGGCCCCTGCCCAGTAGCCTTCAGAAGCGTGTGAGCCGATGACATACGCAGCATTCACGAAGCGTGTCTATTTACAGCGCAGTCTCCACAGAGGCTCACACGCTTCGGTGCCTCATCCCCACCTGGGCAGGATCCTGACCTTTGGGAAGTTAAGTGACTTTCCTTGAGGTCATGCAGCTCGTTCAGTGCATGGCCAGATTCAAGCCAGGGGCTGTGAGTCCAAATCCAGTTTCCCTCCCCCACGCCCGGGGACTCGTGAAGGACACAGCGAGGGCAGTGACGAGGCATCGGAAGCCCCTGTCTGCAGGGCACAGCTTTTCTGGAAGCCCAGCTCTCTGCCGAGGACGGGGTACAGACAACTCTCCTTGGGGGCCGTGCCATGATTTCACCCTCTGCAAAGGGCTCTAGTCAGGCCTCTTGAGGTTTAGCCTTGACTTGTCCGCTGCATCGACATCTTGGGCAATTTATTGAATCTCCCTGGTCTCAGTTTGTCTATTCGTTAAACAGGGTTAATAATAATTACTTTAATACATCAGGATTGTTGTGAGAATACGGTGAATAACGGACAGAAAGACTAACCTGCAACATGGAAGTGAGCAGAGCCTCACCTCTGTTATCTGCAAGGGCATAAGCAGCAGGGCCAGCCGTGGCTTCAGCTGCACCTGACGCGGCCAGGGCCCAGGGAAATGCCGAAGGAGCCGGCGGGTATTACCTGCATTACTTTTCTAATGTGAAAACACTAGGACATGTTAACCTGAAAACCACTCATATTCCTAATGTTGAAAATCGATATGGAGTGAGAAGCTAAAGTCCCCCACCTTCCCTCCTAGCCCCAGAGCTAAGCTGCTGAGGGCTTCTTCCTGAGGTTCATGGATTGCGCTCCCCTGAGCAGTAACACAGCGCGAGGCAAACGGTGGCCACACCTGAGAGTCACAGGCTCTGTGAGTTCAGGAAACTGACAAACTGACGGAGCCTCCTGCAGCCCCTGAGGGCCGATGGTCCCTGTTGTGTAGCTGAGGGGCTAGACAAGAGGCTGTGAGCCAGACCCTGGGCCGCCACAGGAGTCTTGGCCCAAGTCCCGCAGAAATCACTGAACGGATGGCTCACTGCCAGTGAGGGAGAGGAAAATGCTACTCCCCATCTCCACAGGCACGTCTGTACAAAGCACGAGAGACCCGGGGAGGAGAGTGAGCTCGTGTTGCCGGGGCCCGTAGGAAAGGCAGCGAGAGAATGCTTTCTATGGCGGCTACCATGAAGCACAATTTGAATGCGATTAAAAACCAGAGAAGCAGAACTTACTCAAGGTCAAACTACTGAAAATGACTCACACTCATATTCCGGGGCTCCACGTCCAAGGTCCTCTCTCCCATACTCCGCGCTGCAGCACGGCTTGCCCTTTCAAAGGAACGTGTGTTCTGTAATGTTTAACCAGAGTCAGGACATTTCCTGGCTTCAAAGACGCCCGGGACAGGCGACAGAGATGTGCCTGCGTGAGTGGGTTCAGAGTTCACAGCGCGCCGTGACTGTGAGAATAGCCTTGACTTCTCGGGGGGTGTCAGGTGCAAACAGGGAGGTGAGTGAAGTGTGCTTTTGTCATATTTTCCCTCAATCCACTCGGGGTGCACGGAGCCCCCGTGGGGACACCAGGCTGCCGGATGCACTGGGCTTTCCCACCAGCCCGGACCAGCAGCAGTTCATGATGCGTGAATCTGCGTGTGCTACCGAGACATGATTAATCCTGTGATTGATAACCAATAACTGTCCAAGGGGATTTAGCTCAGCTAATGTTTCATCCACTTTAGCTCGGCTTTACAGGAATGACAGTTCCTTCATTCAAAGCGATGTCTTTCCAAAGGTGCAGTTGAGGTGCTGTGTGGCCGAGGGAGATGGGATTCCGCTTGGCATGACTGAGGGAGGGTAGGGCCATCCCGGTGAGCACGTGTCGCTGGGTGTCCAGCCACGGAAGTAACTCCACTGTGCTCAGCTTGCCTCGTGCTTCCCGTGGCGGGTGAGGGACCAGGCTGCTCAGGTGGGGAAGGCGGGGTGCTGACTGCTTTTCTGAGACCAGGATGGCGCGTGGTATGTGTAGCCCAGAGGGCCTGTCCCCTGGGCCTTGTCTGCCCATCGCTGCGGCCGCAGGAAGGACCTGCTGGGGTGAGGGCCTTGGCAGGACCACCTCCCCTTCCTGTTTCTGGGGCGGCCACCGGGTGGGGCAGGTGCGGTGGGAGCAGGGCTGCCAGAGGAGGGGGAGCTTGAAGAAGTCAGTGAGGGCTTCCTGTTTCTGGGGCGGCCACCGGGCGGGGCAGGTGGCAGCGGAGAGGAGAGGGAGCTGCCAGAGGAGGGGGAGCTTGAAGAAGTCAGTGAGGAGCCAGAAATGAGGAGAAGGAAGCCAGCCCTGAAGATGGATTGTCTTAACCAACGAGCGCTGTTATTGGGACA